AGGGATGTCATCCCTGTCTCGGAAGGTCCCTTATCAGAGGTTCCACAAAGTAGGCATACATAATAGTTAGACGTCTGATCGAGTAACTACGCGCAGTAGAAAGCCGAGAGCCCGCATTTTGGCGCCCGAGCGCAGCGAGGGCGCTACCCGGGGCACGAGGCTTAAACCGTTGCGTAGTTACTGAGATCACGTCTAACTATTTTAGGGTGAGCGCTCATATCTATAATATAGCTGTAGTCTGCATCCGTCCTGTGAGGATGTCGTGTAAAGTATAATGGCATTAAAGATCGAGCGTCGGTAACGCTCTAAGAGTGAAATCTTCACGTGATCCGCGCATAAAACGTCTAAAAACTCGTGAGAATGACTCCCTAGACCTCAAACACACTAGCAATAGTCCTACGGACCCATATCTACCTATACATGCTCGTCAATTCGCTCCATTTCGCGCGAGGTGTGACGGACATCAAGCGATCGTTTCTTTTTTGCGCAAGACACTACGGTAGATCATGGAGCTCTTCCATGGTCACATACCAGTAAAATTGCCATTTGCTGCTAATTCAGCATCAGTGAGCAGCGCGCATGAGCAAGGCCGGGGCGTTGTCCAATCCGCTGTGCGCGCGTATTAACCAGGTGAGTTGACAGACCTGCAGAGAAACTCTCAGCCTCCAGTGCCTTCTGTAAGTCAGTGTGCACATTTCCAACTGGCTAGCTTGCGTTTTGCTGTTGATTTGCACGAGGAGCAACTTGGCAGAGTCGATCAGCGCAGTGTTTACCTGGCATTGCTGGGCGCACACACAATGGGCTTCATTGTTCGACCTCAAGTTGTAGCCTGATTACCAAAGCCTGCTCATGAAACCACAACCATGTGCCATAGCCTAATTACATCCTTTTGAAGACAATATCTGAGGTGAATATGGTATCTAACTCCTGCTCAGGCACTAGCAGCCCACTAGCTACAGCTTTCAAAAATTACAGTTTGTCCTTGGTAACCTATCACAACCATACCCATGAACATCAGAGTGACTGTAACAATAAAATGCAATGTTGTCATAAAGCTGTTAAAAATAGCGGAACAGTGGAAAAATCATTTCTTCAAAATGAGGGGGATATAGGCATGACTTGAAGCACCAAAAAGGAAGAAAAGGGGTCATTACCAGCAAAGATGCACAAAGGCTATAAATTATAGAGATGTGCTGTTTGGTATTCAGACTAGTTGACTCCACTTAAAACCATGCAGTCCAACTAAATAATGAGCTAATTGAACTGGACAAATATATTTGCAAATAAATGTAACAAAAGCATATTTGGCAGACATCCTAATTATATCTACGAGCCCCAAAACACCATCCATACATTGATCTTTAGTCAGTTACAGTGTCTGATGAATTTCCCTCTAGCCCTAGCTAATGGAACTTGACAAATATAATTTGCCAAATAAATGTCACAGAAAGCATAGTTGGCAGACATCCTAATATATAAAATCCAAACACCCATCCATTCATTAATCAGTTACAGAGTGCCTGATGCATTTCCCTCTATATAGAGCTAGACTCTGAGGCAGATATCACTTTTTGCCAGAGTTTTTACTGCCGTAAATTTAGTTGTCAACTCACTGGATCACTGAGAAGATGAAAAGGACTGTTCTGCTGGTCTTGTGTCTAGTGGCACTGTGTAATGTACAGCTGGGACAGTCTCAAATTGATGGTAAGTACAAAGAATAAACTCGGTGTCAAATTTAACTGTATGTGTGGGCTACAGTTGCTAGGATTGCAGCAGCTGTGTTCGAAACTCTGATTCCCCTATTGAATGAGGTGAAGGAAGACATTAGCTGTGTGAAGAGTGAAATAGCCAATCTCAGTGAGACAGTCAGTCATCTAGCTGAGCAACTGGAAGACCACAAGAATGAAACTGCATCTGAACTGGTCGACCTTAGGTCCTCAGTCAGCTCAGAATTAGCTAATCTAGGATCCTCTCTCCAGTCCATGATTGATAATCCCCAACTGAGGCAGTGTGTAGTGCTGTATTGGCATCATCATATGTGAACAACATGGAAGATAATATCAAGACAGAGCTGGGGCAGTTGGTTAGGGAGAGATCTTCCTCTATCAATGAGACACTGAGGCAGCAGCTTGGTTTGATGAACAGCTCCATGAGAGATGATCTCAACTGTGTCAAGACTGAATTAAGCCGTGTCAATGGAATCATCAGTGATCTAAGTGGACATCTACAGACACACACCCAGCAGACTACATCTGCAGTGGCTCAACTTGACAGTAGACTGAGTTCTCTGAACGAATCAATGAGAGATGACTTCAGTGGTGTTGAGAGAGGGTTAAGTGGCACAGCAAACATGATACGTGACAAGACTGAGGAAAATGACAATCAAATCACTACTCAACTGATGAGAATGAACCAGACACTGACGAGAGAGATCATTTATAACAAGGGAGAGTATTCATAACACTGCAGGATTAAAATGTGGAGGAACATGGGGCTGGAGACGTGCAGTCTACGTGGATATGACAGATCCCCAACACCAACTGTCCCTCTGGCTGGCAGCTCACTGAATACTCCAAGAGAACTTGTGGTAGAGTTAGTACTGGAGAGAGGACTTGTGACTCAGTCTTCTTCCCTGTCAGTGGAGGACAATACAGTCAGGTGTGTGGCAGGATCAGAGCCTACCAGTATGGAACACCAGATGCCTTCTATGGGTATAATATTGGACTAAATACAACTGACAGTGCCTATGTCTGTGGTGTGGCTGTAATGCATGGCACTCCTCGACAACACATCTGGACATTTGCTAATGGACCAGTGGAGAATTATACAACGGTAACACCCATTAACTGTCCATGTGAAATCGGCAATAATATATCCATCCCATCATTTGTTGGAGAAGATTTCTTCTGTGAGTCAGGGTATGTGTATCCTGGGTACAGAAATATTACTGCGGAGTACAGACTCCACTGCAATGACACTCTCTGGGACGGTGAAGACTGTCACTCCACCAGTACATGTTGCTCCCTCCACAATCCTCCATATTTCACCAAAACCCTCAGCCAGACAACTAGTGATGACCTTGAACTGAGAATGTGCTTATGGAATGACATAAAATCTGACAACATAGCAGTGGAACTGGTAAAGTTTGTATGTAAAGTAGTTAAAAAGCTGCTACTGACTGAAACATATATTTATAGTTACCTTCAGGCTCTGTGTTTTGTGTACATGTTGTTTACTAGCTAGCATAGCGACTAGTATAAAGAGAAAAATCATCACAGTCCATTCTCAGGAGTTGAGTGTGCGCATGGTCATAGTTAACCCTCGGCGCGCATGCGTGCGCGCAGGCTAGGCTATAGCTAGCTAGGATCTAGGAGGGCGCAGCACAGCACGCCGCCGATCGCGATCGGGCCGAATTCGTGACAAGAGAACTTGTGGATGATGGGATGGATATATTATTGCCGATTTCACATGGACAGTTAATGGGTGTTACCGTTGTATAATTCTCCACTGGTCCATTAGCAAATGTCCAGATGTGTTGTCGAGGAGTGCCATGCATTACAGCCACACCACAGACATAGGCACTGTCAGTTGTATTTAGTCCAATATTATACCCATAGAAGGCATCTGGTGTTCCATACTGGTAGGCTCTGATCCTGCCACACACCTGACTGTATTGTCCTCCACTGACAGGGAAGAAGACTGAGTCACAAGTCCTCTCTCCAGTACTAACTCTACCACAAGTTATGTTTTCCATTTTGTGTACAGAAGATACTTGAAGAGTGTAATCTGCAACATAACTACTGAGTCGGATATTTTGTCCTATAATAACCCCCTTCCTCCCTCATTCACAGAGTCCCTATTCCCTGGTGATCCAGTGGCTGTGATCTTCCTCCACTAGTTTCTGCAGTTACCACTACCTTCATTTGCACAGTGGTCTGAAACGCTCTATGGGTTGCAATGACTAATAGTGTAAGCAAAAGCTGGGTCCATGTATACTCACTGTGTTCTGTGTATATACTTGCTGTGCACGTAACTAGATGGGCAACCCGAATGGCACTGGAAATTTAGGTCAAGTCAAATGAATGTGGGCTAAGTCTTAAATTCACACCCTGTGTGTATATACTAGTCCTGTGACAGGTAGACTGAGGCCTGGCATGCTCACTCTGTGCTAGAGCAGGAAGGAAAGGCTATATATAGCTATTATGAAGTGAGACATATTTCTCAGCATGTGGTTTGGCTGGTGGTGGGAGTTAGGAAAAGTGTGCAGCTGGACAACGTGATACCTTTGATATACTAAGGTCCTTTCATACGTGTTAATTGGTAATGATTATGTATGTCAGGTGCAAACCTTCGGCGAACTGCGCACGCGCGGTACCACTAATTGGAGGGCAGGGCTTTTTTAGTATGCGTTTACTCGTGGTCTCCACGCTAGTAGCTCGCGGAGAGTCTGACACGGACTAGCTATAATAGTAGATAGCATGCGGGAATCGATACACGCCGGCCTTCGTTGTGACTCACTTGTCCCTTCAAGATAAGCCTGTGCTAATTTGCATATTGGCTTGTTCACGCCATGACTCGCAGTTGAGTAGAAAACGTGGTAACAGATGAACGGACAGACACACAAGTACTGTAACCCTCGTTGCGCATGCGCGCCGAGTCACGAATTCGGCCCGATCGCGATCGGCGGCGTGCTGTGCTGCGCCCTCCTAGATCCTAGCTATAGCTAGCATAGCCTAGCCTGCGCGCACGCACGCATCACGCATGTGTCATTCTATTCTGCCCAAATCGACACACCCCTTTCATCCCGCGCACGCGCGCTGCAGCGATCTTTCTTTCTGCCTTTTTACAGACCTACGTACGTACGCACAATCTCTGTGCCTGTCTGACTTCACTGATCCTGTTTGCTTTTTTGTACCGAAAGGGATATGGCAGTGCGTGCCCCTAGTAGATGCTCTCCACTGTCTGTGTTCTGTGTGTATTACACCAGCAGTTTGCCTGCAATGGGACGGTGGTCCAGCACCCGGAGTACGGGGAGGTCATCCAGCTCACCGGAGACTAGAGGAATCACATCTATACGAGTTTCTCCTCCAGGTCGGCTTCTGCACCAAGGACCAGCTGAAGCTGCACGGATTCTGAAGATTTGACTGCTTTTCACACCATGAGTCCATTGTGTGTTTGTCTATGTGTTACTATTCTGTTCGCTGTCAGCTTATCTATGATGAGGTGAACCTGCTCATTGCTCCGGTTTAGCTATTCGAATATGGAAATTATTGAGGGGGTGTTGGAAGCCTACCGTCTCTGGTTTATTTGTAGACTTTATACAATATGGTGGAACTTCCAAAAAGGACACATTTGGACTGAGCATTAATTTTTGTCTGTACATCTGTCTGTTACCATGTGCGTTTTCTGCCACCAGGCATATGGGTGCAATGTTATATACATCCGAGTGTGCCGAGGGTTTGCACTGTAGTGCTTTTCGTTTGTAATTTCAGTGGTCATTAACCATCTACAATATTTTGTTCTGGATCAGTTCGATCGGATATCAGTTCCTTGTCTTGTAAAACTGGTAACGGCTGAAATATCTCCTCTCCTTGACTCTGGCCCTCCGACTCCAGATTCTTCTTACTAGATCTGGACACACGGTCCTGGAGTCTTTTGAATGCTGCCTTCACCCAGGCCCTGGCATTCTTCACCCGATCTCGGAATGCCTGCGTGGATTGGGTAAAAATGTGGGAGAGTTGAGCATGGGAAGTCAGCCAGGAGAATGATATTATAGTAGCAAGATTCCAAGACAGGTGGGTGCATCGTTTGTGTGGGAATGTATGTAAAAATATTCTGAACCCTGGTTAGTAAAGTGATCCTACTATAATATAGAATGAAAAGCACTAAGTGCAAACCCTCGGCGAACTGCGCATGCGCGATACTGCAAATTGATGGGCTGGGCCGGCTATTGGTATGCGTTTACTCGTGGTCTTCCGCTAGTAGCCGCGGAGAGTCAGACACGGGATAGCTACAGTAGTAGATAGCATGCGGGAGTCGATACATGCCATTCGTTGTGACTTCTTGAGCCCCCACGGTACACAGAGCAAGCGGATCAGGTCGCGGTAAGCCAGTGCGATTTGGCTTTTTCGCTTGTTTTCAAGGCATATCTCTCGAACGAAGTCGTTTCAGGAAAATCGCCTAATAATTTTTCAGGCTCCCGTAGTTCTGAATCCGCTGGTATCGCTAATGGGCCGCCTCGTAGCCTGTAGTGCCAGAATAAGCGTCGACACACACACACACACACACACACACAGACAGACAGACAAACCAACTACCGTAACCCTCGCTGCGCATGCGCGCCGAGGGTTAACTAGTTTTCTGAAGAAAGATCAGCCTGTGTGACTAAATTTTACGTACCTGAGGAGCTCTTGATTGCAAAGTTTCTTCTGGTGTCTCAGATGGTGGCTCCTGGGATGAGTGTGCTGATGTATGGACTGACCCCTGTGATTCAGTTGATGATGGCTCCTCAGATTCAGCGGTGGAGTCCTGCGATTTAGAGTATTCTGGCTCGGCTGTAGATGGTCTAGAGTCATACGTTTCGGTCTGTGCTGTGACCTCAGATTTGTCTGCAAATGGTTTAGACTCCTGCGAGTTAGTTGCGGATTCTATTGAACGCGCCGAATCTTGAGACAAAGTGTCGCCTCCTGACTCCTGTGACGTTGTAGATGCTGTCTCGACGTACTCCAGGGATGCAGTAGATCCTGATGAGTCCTCATCTATTCTGACGTCTTGGCCTTGCATATACTTCTTCAGTAGCCGACACACCGCTCTGTAGTCATCAGCAGCTGCAAAATCCAGAGCCGTCAGCCCATTCTGGAAGGTGGTGTGAAGGAACAGTGCAAGCATAATACCACACAATAGTAAGTGCCAGAGTGTGCTACTATTATATTTTTGGTGAGCGACAAAGCCTACATTAGAGTAGTCATCTGAATTGTGTGATTAGCACTGCACATTACTTTTATTGTGATTCTAAAATACGCAACTGCTCGCATTAGTGCAAAGCAATTCAGTATGGACAGTGCTGTCTACATGTCCTCACATGATCTCTGAGGTGAGGGTTAGCCCCTGCTTTGACCAATAATTCTGCTGTCGTGGTATCTCCGTTATCAGCAGCAAAAAAGAGAGCTGACCACCCATTGGTCTGAATGGATATAGCAAGGGATGCAGGTATTCTAGTGTTGAACAATTGAGTGTCAATTCCTTACAGCCTGAATATCGAGAGAGATGTTCTCTCCCAGCAAAAGTGTCTCTGTGAGATCAGCTCTGCCAGATCTCGAGGAAATCATAAGAGCCGTCAGCCCGTCCTGAATATACAGAAAAAGAGGACGGTGTTAAGACATTGCACAGTGATGCTGGGAATCGAACCCTGACCCTAGGCAGCGCAGCACACTACCATTACGCTATAGTCACAAGTTTGCATGTATATTATACTACGACAGCTCTTACACTATATACAAGCTGTGAGGTCACCTCGTTCTGAAGGTTGAAGTCAGCACCAGCTCTGACAAATTCCTTCAAGACTGTCAGGTGGTTGTACGTTGTGGCTAGTATTACAGCAGAGTCACCTTCCTATAGAGAACATAGCATTGTAACTAGAACAAACATGCCAACGAATGCGAGTACAGTTGTTAAAAGCATTAAGGTATGGACAGTGCCGACTGCATACAAAAATTGTGCAATTCATGCGACTATGTAGGTGGGCTCGCTTCACTTGCAAACGGTATCAGATAATTGCACCTTGTTCTGTAAATCCTGAGCTGCCCCAGCATTAATCAGTAGTGAAACAACGTCAGTCCAATCCATCCTGGTAGCAATCATCAGTAAAGAGTTTCCTTCCTGTGTGATGACAGAACATGTGCCGGGCAGAAAGCATGATTCAAACAGTTCCAGTTCCCTTAGTAGTGTCTTTGCTGCACTTGAACATTGATGCTCTGGCCGTGGGGGCCCCGAGCTGTTGTTGCAGAAAAGACGCTACGAAGGCCCCCAAGGAACCATTCGCGTAAAGCAATGTATTGTACAGAGCAAAATGAAAGTTGGGTAAGCAGGGACACTGATACACACCACTAAGCAGTAAAGACTACAGAGCAAACCACAGCCCGACACTCTAATATGTGCAATCATACCTTGTCCTGCACATCAATGTTAGCTCCAGGCTGTAATAGCTGTGAAATAACTTCAGCCTTGCCAAATTTTTCAACAGCCATCATCATTGTAACAACTCCAATCTATGTGAATAGGGAAATGAATATTCATTTGTGAATGGTGAATCCGCGAAAAAGAAACAACTATGAAAAATCAGAGTATACGGCGTTTGTAGAAGTGAACAAAGAGAGTCCTGCGCAGTAAGATAGTCGTGGTAGCTAAGTCTGCTCTCCTTTACTGAAACAGCAAACTCTACAACTTTTACTCTTTATTTTTATCACCGATAATCAAATTTGATAACATCTTACTATATTTGAGGGTCAGCAAAGCTACAACATTGATTAGTAACTAGTGGGGTTTACCCAATCATGGTCGACAGCTGCACTCAGTGATATCACTGCCTCCACATCTCCTTTACTAGAGGCCAATAGCAGTTCACCTTTCTAGATAAAACAGGATGAGATATAATTCCTGTTTCTGTCATACAGGTATAATGGGGTTCACTGCCTGACAAAAGTTGCAAGCTGTTTCTTACCAAGTAGTCTTTGAGAAGATGTCTAGTTGAATATGTTGACACGTATGTCAGATGTTTCTCTCTGAAGGCAGGAGACATCAAGACCACGCCCACCCTCCAACCAACCTCCTCGGGAACAAGCAGCCGTACCACCACAGAGCCTGGCAGTGGGGTTTCAATGTACGTGGCATGGGACTCTAAAGCTGCATTCTCCTCGATGGATTCCTTCAATTCTCGGATCTCATATAGTTTACACTCGGAGGGTAGCTTGTTGATCTTCATGGTCATGCGGATGTACCCTTTCCTGATTGCACCACCTGGATGAGCTGAAATGGCACTGAGGTAGACATCAACGGCTGTAGACTTTTCAAAACTGGTTAAAGAGTCACGGTAATTCAGCATTCTTCTCTTCAGTTCATGGCAGAACCTCTTGACAATGTGGAAGATTATCTCATAGTTGGTGTAGTTGCAGTAACGGCTTACGATGGCAAAGAGTTTCTTAATGGTTTCAGCTGCAAGGATTTCATCTTCATTTCTAGTGAAGAAACGAATGTGAACCTGTCTTTTGGCAACAGGCAGAACCAGGAGATAATCACGAAACCGGTCTAAGAACGAGTTGTCGTTCTTCTCTTGATCGGACAAAGATGAGTGTGTTCTAGTCATTACCTCATAAAATTCGTCTTGCAACTGCTCTAGAGTGACCTTAACCGTTACAACTTCTTGGCAGAACACGTCGTTCGAAATAGGATCAGGTGTGTCAACTTTTGATGGAGAAGAGACAGAGACAGAGGCAGGGGAGGTTGAAGGGAAAGAGGGAGAGCCACTGCTGGGGACTAGGGCTCTTGAAAGATGCTCGGATTCAATCTCAGCTGCCAGGGAGTTTTTGTTGATCTTCCTCAGGCCAGCAACCAGCTTCTCCCAGCTTGCATCGGGATTCCTATCAAGCCAAGTCTGCACAAAATTTTGCTTTCGGTTTTCGCCATCATACTGGGCTGCGATATCTTTTAAGACATTTAGCGGTACACCCATTTGGAACACTAGGTCTCTTGTCTCTTCCACAGTCAGTTGGTTGATGGCATTGCTCACATCCAGGTTGCTGGATACTGCCATTTCCAAAGGGAATTCTGAAAAAAGAAAAAAGTTCATCACAACTCAAGCACAATGGCAAACACTCATTCGAAGCTATTTTACATGCTCATGAGGTTAAAAGAAAAATGCTTGCCAGAACGCAGAGATAAAGCCTGTTCACACAATTCACAATTTTTATGAGTCCCACCCAAGGCAAAGCCCGGATTTTTATACCTTGCACAGACACCCCGCTTTTAACCAGGTTGCAGACGATAGGGCTTGAGCCAGAGAGCTGGTTCATTAGTTGCAAGACACCTCCCCTTACGCATTCATAGAAAAGCGAGGATACTGCGCATGTGCCTATATATACTCCCGGTTCTTGCCCTACAGTCAAGCAGACTTGCATAGCAACTATGACTTCCACAGGTATGTGCATGCATCAATGTATTCCAAATGAAAAGCCATTTCAAAATTACCTGCCCTCACCTTACACCTCAGGTTTTACATACAATATGCAAAAAGAAACACCAGGCATTCATGGCTTTCGTAGTGGTAGAGCATAGGAATAATGTGCCTCCCAGCGGCTCTTGGAATAAGGCATGCACTACGCCACCGACGATAACGAGTGAGAAGTCCATGGCCAGAGAGGATGATGGTCAGCCCGCACCACCCTGAAGAACATGCGTCCCCTTGCGCACTGCTAGTCTAGCGTAGTGCCCATTTCACGCGCGCGGAAGAAATATAGTCAGGTGACGTTAGCATCAACGACCCGTGCCTGCCAGAGAGGAGGTTGTGCACGCGTCATCGGTTGAGTCACGTGCGCCTTAGAGTTGTATGCTCGCCCACGCACCAAGTCAACCCACTGAGTCAGCACTTTCTGCAGAATGGCACACTGGCGTTTGCAAGGCTACGAGTGTTCTCCGTGGTACACACTTGGACATAAAAACAATCGAGAGATACTAGCAAGGTCTTGGCCTGCCAGAGCACCAGCCAGAGCCACTTCCTTCACAGCTATGATACTTGATTGCATTTTAACCGCATGCGCGAACTGCTTAGGAATGTTGATTGTGCGCAACCTCCTCCCTCCTCTGGGCCCTCTGCAACTGTAGATTGCAGAATGGCGTGGAATGTAATCAGTAATACTGTATGTGCGGTTACTTCATAGTAATAGTTGTTGAAGGAGGGCCTCCTGACGCTTTTGTAGTACGGCAAAAGCTTGAGAGAGTTCATTGTCGACTTTACTGGTGCGAGCCATTCCAGGGTTAGTAGTGTACCGCTGGTAACAGAGCTCAGAGTGTTCTCCGGACCCCACCCACTAATAACGTAGTCTCGTGCCCAGACCCAGCCCTCTCTCGAGGAAAAGGGTCTGGTGCGGTGGCTATTGAGCGTTTTCTTGGTTCTTGCTGAGTCAGATGCGGGCGCGGGCGCGCAGGTTAGATGACGAGAGCGCATGCGCTATATAGCTAGCATGCAGACACTGTGCAGCAGTAGGGAGAGTATTAGAACCTTCTTCACGTCGTCCCGCTGCTAGAGCCGTGGCATGATGTAGGATGGAGTGCGTGTCATACACAAGCGGTAAACAAGCGAAACACAGGCTTTTTCCTGACCAGGTAGGCAGGGAGACAAAAACATCATATCCTTGTGAACTTCGTAATCACTTCTAGTTGGTCGTTTCGGACGCTGTCGTAACCGAGTGTAGAAAAGGCACTCTGGACAGACGTTTCCGACGATGTATGCAGAGACGGGTTGAGGGAGCGCTCACGGGTATATAGCCAGCCGGGGAAGGAATACGAACGATTGCATAACACCATGTGATATTTCACGCTGGTTGCAAATACTGCAATCTGATTCGGTGTCTTAAAAGTAAGACTGTCGAGTCAGCAAGAACCAAGAAAACGCTCAATAATAGTCACCAGACCCCTTTCAGAGAGGGCGGGGTCTGGGCACGAGACTACTAATAACGTGGAAAAGTTAGGGTGTTCACATTCCAAGGGCATAACTTTTCCACGTTATTAGTGGGTGGGGTCCGGAGAACACTCTGAGCTCTGTTACCAGCGGTGGCTGACACCAGTAAAGTCGACAATGAACTCTCTCAAGCTTTTGCCGTACTAGCGGCAGTCACAAAAGGGGGGGGGTTCGGAAACCACCCCGGTGAATAAGTAATCCGCTAGCACCCTTGCTGCGCTCGGGGGTCAGGCTTAAGACTGTGTACTACCAGCACTCTTTTGCATTAACTCGGGTATAGCTAGCTAGCTAGCTACTCTCCTCGCATTCACCTGACAAAAACCGCCCGTAGCGCCCGTGATGACACGCAAACTGGCCGATTACAGCGGTACACTGGGGACCAAGGACTCACCAACATTAGGTATATACCACCAGCTCGAAGTCTTTCTCAGCTGGACTGATCTGGCAACTCCCCCGATCGCTCTCCTCTCTCTCTCTCTCAGAGCTCTCTGTTGGTCACACGCCCACCACAAATTCCGACATGATGACGTCAATTTGTATCATCATGTCATCGCCCGATTGGCCTTATGTTGACTAAAAAACTTATGAGTGTGAATGAGGAAAAGAAGGCAGTGAAATGCTCAATGTTAGAGAAGGTGGGAGAGGGTGGAGGATGAGAGCTCGATGTTAGAGAGGATGGATGAGGGTGGAGGATGAGGGAGAGACCTTCAGATCAGAGGGTGGAGGATAAGAGAGAGAGATGGAGCTCAATGTCAGAGAAACCATCAGAGAGGATGGGAGAGGGTGGGAAGATGAGAGAGAGAGACCATCAGAGAGGGTGGGAGAGGGCGGAGGAAGAGAGGGAGACGGAGCGAGTGGCAGCCCAGTAACTCTCCAGGAACAGCTCCAGACTCTGACAGGCATCATCCAGGTCACTATCTCTGATTACCAGGGAATAGGGACTCTGAGAATGAGGAGAGAGAGGATCCGTAACACAAAAGGTTTCCTGCTTTCCCCCTTTATGTGCTCTGTTTCTGTTGGTTCCCATGGTTTTTGTTTGCAGCCTTTCTTTTCTGTACCCTGGAAAACTAAAGGTTAGTCTTGAACCATACTGTGTAGCAGAAATGCAGGAAAACAATCAGCCATAAGGTGTAACAGAAACTTTTGAGTTGGAAACTTACGTGATTTGGTAGCAAACACTAAAAACTTGGGTAAATTGTGCACCCTGATATAACTACGTATGCAACTTTCTCTAGCTCATGAAAAACAACAGGACTGAGCTATATGAGCTCACCGGGGTGAAGGTACTCTGTAGCACTAATCTATGGGCTCACCGGAGTGAAGGTACTCTGTAGCACTAATCTATGGGCTCACCGGAGTGAATGTACTCCGTAGCACTAATCTATGGGCTCACCGGGGTGAATGTGCTCTGTAGCACTAATCTATGGGCTCACCGGGGTGAATGTACTCCGTAGCACTAATCTATTGGCTCACCGGGGTGAATGTACTCCGTAGCACTAATCTATTGGCTCACCGGGGTGAATGTACTCCGTAGCACTAATCTATTGGCTCACTGGGGTGAATGTACTCTGTTCATACAGTCTGTAGGCAGCCTGCAGTTGAGCCGTCCTCTCTTCAGCTGAGGCTGTCATCTCTTCCACCAGTTTCTGCAGCACTCTTCTCCTACTCACCTTCAGTAGCACAGCACACCAGTACAATAGGACATAATATGTGAGGGGCCATGGGAAAAGGGACCTGTATGGCTGGAATGTGACAATTAAGTTAACCACAAAAACTTAATTTTCACATTCCAGCCATATAGGTCCCTTTTCCCATGCCCCCTCAGGCCCTCACATATAGTCAATAGTCAGTCAGTATATAGAAAGAGAAGTATATACAGTGAACCTCTGAATAAGAGACATCCTGGGTACATGCATTGAAAGTGTCTTTTACTCAGAGGTGTCCCTTACATTTGAAAACACTAATGTATCAGTGTGGGGAAGAACCAAAAGGCCTTTATACCTTTATTCAGAAGTCCTTTTTCAGAGGTTTCACTGTAAAAAGCTGTGTATGTGTAGGTATTCAGTCAAGCTTACTTGGACGTAGATGAGTAGTGGGTGGAGCCAGGAGATATCGTCGTGGTAACTGGCATCGCAGTCGAGGTAAACGAGGTTGAGGGTGTGGCCAGCACGATACACCTCGCCTCTCAGAGCCCACGCTGTGAGAAAACACGATAATGATTCATACACCGAGTCTGAGTGTCGTTACCTTGTTTGTCAGTGAGACCTTCAGACACAGACCATCGAGGCTTGTGGGTGTGGAGTCTGCCAGGGAACTGCTCCTTCATGAAGGCCACCAGAGCCTTCTGCAGTAGCTCAGTCAACTGGGGGTTTGGTTTAAAACCAACAGGGAGAGGGGAAAGGGTTAAGTCACAAACCAAAGAGGAGAGAAAAAAATTGACCAAGATGGAGAGAGAGAAAGGTTAACTGTGGTTCACAACCAAGAGGGAGAGAAAGGGTTAACCAAGCCAAAGTTAATTCAAACCCTTTCTCTTCTGTTTGTTGTGAATCAAAGTTAACCCTTTCTCTCCCTCTTGGTTGTGAACCAGGAGAGAAACTAACATAGATTAGTGCTACTTGAAACAGGAGAGAAACTAACTTTGATTCACAACAAACAGAAAAGAAAGGGTTTGAATTAACTTTGGTTTGTAACAAACAGGAGAGAGGGGAGGGGGTTAATTAATTAAGTTTGGGTTTGTAACGAACTGGAGAGAAAGGGTTAACTTTGGTTCAAAACAAAGGGGAAGAGAAACGGTGGTTCACAACCAACAGGGACAAAAATGAAAAGAGGGTCAATAACAAAAGAGAAAGAGAAAGGGAACTGCTCCTTCATGTAGGCCACCAGAGCCTTCTGCAGTACATAGCTCAGTCAACTGGGGTTTGGTTTAAAACCAACAGGGAGAGGGGAAAGGGTTAAGTCACAAACCAAAGAGGAGAGAAAAAGATTGACCAAGATGGAGAGAGAGAAAGGTTAACTGTGGTTCACAACCAAGAGGGAGAGAAAGGGTTAACTTTGATTCACAACAAACAGAAGAGAAAGGGTTTGAATTAACTTTGGTTTGTAACAAACAGGAGAGAGGGGAGGGGGTTAATTACTTAAGATTGGGTTTGTAACGAACTGGAGAGAAAGGGTTAACTTTGGTTCAAAACAAAGGGGAAGAGAAAGGGTGGTTCACAACCAACAGGGACAAAAATGAAAAGAGGGTCAATAAAAGAGATAGAGAACAGAGTTTGTGTGGGGTGCGGGGTGCATGTGCGAGAGAGACTGTTTACCTCAGCGTCCCTACTCGATGGACCGAGAAAGACAATTGGCCTCATTATGGGGGCATCCTCGTACACCAGAAGCCCCTCCCCCTCTCCCTCCCCCCTCTCCTCCTGCCCCTCCCTCACCACCCTCTCTCTGTGAGCCAGCAGCTTCTCCTCACTGGGGAGCAGTCCCAGCCACGTTCTCTCTCCCACCACCCGCCCCACCCACCAACCAGTAGTCCCGTATGGCTGCAGGCATTACGTAATGCATACGTCATTTCAAACCCCATAGTATAATATAGTAGTACATTATTGCAGTAATACTAGCCTGTTTGAAGTGAAGGTAGTCGCCTGACTGAAAGGAGAAGGTGTAGCGAGGTAGAGGCGAGTCCATTTCCCTCGAGTTGAACTTTACCACTGCCTTACGGGCGTACAGGACAGGGAGTGACTGTACAGAATAATCAGAAAACCACGTGAGATGGATCTGGAAGCATAATAAAGTGCATGCTTACGTAGGCCTTTGACAATGCCTCCAAAACTCCACTCTCTTCGCCCAAAACAGGGGATACGCACGCCATTTGGCGTCTTCACCGATCGAGCAGCTGGCCACGCCCCTAAATTCGTAGCCACACCTACATATGAAGTGCGCATGCGTGTAACTAAATGCCCGGGAGACGGATAAACAGTGACAACTAACTGGTGCCTTTCTCTTCTTTCTCACGTGTGTTCTTCACCATGGAAAATGGATCCATCGCCTACTGCAGCTGAAGTGGGTAGCTTTGCAATTCAGTGCACGAACGACGCGCCGAATTAGCTACAGCAGCAGGTAGCTGGGCAGTGATAACGAGCTCTCTTTCGCGCAGAACGGAGCAGAGGACAGCTGGTCCGGTGTGCCCATAGCAGCAGTCCTGTGCATCTGTCTCGTCGTGTTTCTCGCTGTGGTCGTCTGTCTTCTCTGTGTCAGGAAACTCCTGCAGGTGATCCTCCACACGCCTCCTTACAAACATCTGGGGAGTGCCTATAATATCGACTTGATTCCCAGCTTTGTGGTAACATAAATTCCCAAACAATATTATTTATCCAGTACATTCCTCTATAATTTCACCACAAAACAATAAAATGTCTTACAGTAGCTCATCAGAAAGTTACTTTCTGACAGTGTTCAGGTGTGTCTAGGCAAAACACTAGGTTTGACCGTGGCATTTGGTGTATAGCAACAACTCTGTGTGCATGTGTGTTGGCAACACATCTGCTAGCTTGGTAAAACATAGCTTTTTGCAGTATATCTCTCATCTCTCTCTCTCTGTGTGTAGATAAGAGTTTGTATATCAGTGTTGGCAGGACATCTGCAAGATATTTTTACTGTAGTTGCATTTTGTCTCTCTCTCTCTCTCTCTGTGTGCAGAGAAGAGGTGTCAGTGTGACGTGTGTCTCGTGTGCCTGCTGTGAGGGGCGGAGCAGGGGGTGTGGCGGGTGTGGTGGATGTGGTGGGGAGGCATGTGTCTCCGTTGCAGAGAGACTGGACTGCCAGACTCCAGACATTAAGGCCTGTCTGGACAGAGTCTGCCCCTCTCAACAGGTGCATTTCTAGTTAGGAGCCCTGTTTTAAGAAAGAACGTCGTACTTGTAATATCTTTCCACCATTAGCATCGCTCAGAAGCTCTTAATTATCTCATGCGGATACTCATACAATAGTGGGTGGGGTGAATGATTATTGTAATGTTAGCTACATGACAAGTTTTTACATACACATCAACATTCATTGGCCCTCCTCATTGCATGCAGCTAAATTGACTGTGATTACTGTAATAAAGAAAAGAGCGGTGATTGGGTTTACGAAAGGTATCTACAGGTCAGGTATCTAGGCCCTAGATTATGCATTGAACATACGCTTACCAAGCATAGTGCCCAAAGAGTTTTTAAAGTTCTCTGCTGCAAATACTGATTCAAAAACCCTAACGAGGTTTGCCTGTATCGTTCATGTCTGCAGGTGTGCAGTATGTGGTGTGGGAGAGTATGGAGCTGCTACTCGTGTCACATGATCCGGGACAGGTGTCAGGTGATGTCATGTGCGGGACTTTGTCCGGCATGCACCGCCTGTGAGTGTCCGGACGTCCAGTGCTGCGGTCGATGCTGTCACTGCAAGTTAAAGACTCCAGACTGCACCCACATCAACTGCCTGTTCTGTGACCTCGACTGTGGGGGTGGAGACAATGATGGCGACACTTAGCCACTAACTCTTGATCAATGCACACTCTTTCTCAGCTATATTATGATCCTAACAATTCTCTTTCCTCTGAATCTCTATTATACCAGTCAATCTGGCAGTCTGTGTAGATTGCTATAATATTACAACAAATCGAAGTAAGAGTATATATTCAGGGGAACTGCAGGGTGTCGCTTGTAGAAGAGGTTAGTTAGCTAGGATGTCTGGGAAGCGAGTTGGAAAACACTGGTATATACATCTGTATATTAAATATTGTGTTGGTCTCGCCTATTGCACTGCGTGTGTGTCTGTGACTCTAGTGCTGCCACCTGAGTATCGAATGACTAAGTGCTATGGAGGTGTGAACCTCTGAAATGAGCTCACAGCAACGAGTTCCCAACTTGTAAACTTGTCTGATGCCCTATATTTCTCCAGTGTCCCCAAAAATTGTTATTAGTTTGCAAATGTAAAGTCATCTCAAGGCTAGGAAACTGAACTCTTCTTGTTGTGCATATGATTTTGGAGCCATTAATATTATAATTATACCACTGTTAACAACCGGCTCAACCCTGGCTCGGTGACAGTACCCGGACAGTAGGAGTGGCCTCCTGATTGCCACACCTACACATGGCTCCTCTCCTCTAATTACCCACAGAGTGCTTGGGCGAGAGGAGGGTGTTGCCACTCCCTAACTTTCATCTCTCCTAGCTTCTCCCTGCGCTCTGCTCTCTCTCCTGACCCACATGGCCTCGTGCCATGTACTCATGCTCCACTGTTGACGTCTCCGCCTCTCGTGCATGCTCCGTGGGTTGGGCACCCTCTGACGACCCCCTGTTATTAACCTCGGTTAATAACCTCCACTTATATATATACCCCGTCTCAATACTGTTTCAGCATTGTCACTGAGCGTATATACTTTTTATATTGTCGATTGACAAATGCCTTTAACGTAAACTTTTTTGTTTTTTTTTGTTTGCTTGCGTTCACATTCTCAATCTTCATACATAGTTTAGGACTGAAATATGTACACACGTGCAGGGGCATCTGGTGAGACATGATGACTGTGACCTGACGAAATGATGATTGATGAGAGTTACGACTACACTGATATCAATGAAGTGCAGGGCTATCTGCTGTGATCTATGGTACACATAACCTGCACACTGTACACTAAAAAAAGGAAGGAGTGATGATACACTAGAGAATCCCAGCCAGTCCGACATCTGCACTGGTGGCCCCTCTGTCAGGAGAATCCACTGACTCCATTCCATCTCCCGTGGTGTGGCTATCTCTATCACTTCCAGACTTCTTGCTGCCACCTCCAAGACCCAGTGTCGACCAGCTAAACAGGTTTCCTACTTGTTTGAGCAGCGAGGTGTTCCCCTCCTCCTCTCCCTCCCCCTTCTTTTCCTTTCCTTGGGACCCTCTCTTCCCTCCCTGTGCCCCGCCACTCTGATCACGTGACTTCAAAGCCTGTTCATCTGACTGATCATGTGATTTTGTCCCTTCCGGTAGCGTGTTTATTCCGTTACCGTCGACGATGGCAGAAGAAGCGGTGAGATTGCTGAGTCGACTGTGGATCCCTTTAGCCCTGCGTTGGCCTCGCCTGTGACGATGTGAAGAGGTAGAGAAGGAGGAGGAGGGAGTGTGGGGAGGGTGTGAGGAGGGAGGAGGGGAGGTGGTGAAGTAAGTGAGGTCGTTTGTGCTCAAACTCTTCAGTCTCAGCTCTGGAGGTAGTCCGAGGCTCCCCTGCTCTTGCGGGCGCTTGTCCTTTATCCCAGCAGCTTTCCAGCCCTTGATGTGAACACCCGGGCGGGACGCGTCCGAGAAGAATGTGGTGGCCCCGCCCAGCTGCGGGGAGGCCATTAGCTTCCACTTTAGCAGGGTCACTGAGCCCTCGAGGGGTTTCACAATTTGGAGCTTTTCGGGTGCCACGTAGTGTTGATAACGCAACCACGAAGCCTCGTCGGGGAGACTTAGCGTGCTCCCGGCTTCAGATGCCGTCGGAGAGAGGGGGGCGGGGTGGGGGGCCAAATGAGACGAATTAAGACCGCCGGTGCCAACTCCGATGGAGAACCCGGTCGCCGACGACAGCGGTCCCTCTGGGGAGCTAGTGGCGATGGGGTTAAACGGGTGGAGAGGGGTGGATATTGTGGGAGGTCGGGGAGAAGGTCCGCTGGTGGAGTGGTGGGCGGAGTCAGAGGGGTGCGCGGTGGACGGAGGGGGAGGGGGAGGGTGAGCAGCTGCAAGTCTCTCTTGTCGACGAGCCATTGCCTGAGTGGCTGCCCTGACTGTGGCCATTACTGCCTGCGTCCTCTGCAGTGCATACTGCTTGGGAGACCTGCGAGGGAGGGAGGAGAAGAAGAGGGAGAGAAAGGGAGGGAACACAGATGATAGACTACCATTATGGGTAAATTGCAACTTGCATTGAGAACACCACTTGGGTTTCTCAAACAAAATTAGGGCAACTTGGCTGAACAACGATATGATCGTCACATACACTGTATCCTTTATGCTTTTGGAGGACTCAATCAGCATGTACAAAGAACATAAAATGGCTTAAGCATGAGAACAAAGCCCACAGCTTGGAGGTAATAGCATGGACGAAAGGCACACAAAAGTCTACAGAGAGAGTCAGTGTGTGTACAGAGTGTCAGTAAAGGTCTTACGAAGGTCTCTCAGTGAGAGTGGAGGCTGCAATGATCTCTTTCCTCAGAGCCTCCTCTATCTCCTGGACTATGGACTCATGCTGCATGGGAAGTAGGGAATATCACTTATCACACAGTCTCCCTTGGACATAGAGAATATCACTTATCACACAGTCTCTCTATCATTCTGCCTTTGACATTGAGAATAACACTTATCACACAGTCTCTCTATCATTCTCCCTTGGACATAGAGAATATCACTTTTCACACAGTCTCTCTATCATGCTGCCTTTAGAATATCACTTTTCACACAGTCTCCCTTGGACATAGAGAATATCACTTATCATACAGTCTCTCTATCATGCTGCCTTTAGAATATCACTTTTCACACAGTCTCCCTTGGACATAGAGAATATCACTTATCATACAGTCTCTCTATCATGCTGCCTTTAGAATATCACTTTTCACACAGTCTCCCTTGGACATAGAGAATATCACTTATCATACAGTCTCTCTATCATGCTGCCTTTAGAATATCACTTTTCACACAGTCTCCCTTGGACATAGAGAATATCACTTATCATACAGTCTCTTTATCATGCTGCCTTGGACATAGAGAATATCACTTATCACACAGTCTCTCTATCATTCTCCCTTGGACATAGAGAATATCACTTTTCACACAGTCTCCCTTGGACATAGAGAATATCACTTATCATACAGTCTCTCTATCATTCTCCCTTGGACATAGAGAATATCACTTATCACACAGTCTCTTTATCATGCTGTTTTGGACATAGAGAATATAACTTATCACAGAGTATCTTGATAGCATTGAGAAACGCTCTAAACGTTGAACCGACTGAGAAGGGGAGACAACTTTGGGGTATATACCTAGTGCTTAGATTTTCGCTTTGACAGGCTATTAACTGTCATGCTCTGTTTCTATGGCCATGGATGGTGTACATACTAGAAGGTAATGGCAGACTTTTAGTGACTTACATCAGTGGCACCTGCAGCTTCGTCACCATTCTGGGTCTGAGGAGAGCTGGAGAGAGGACAACAGAACAAGCAGTAACCTCCCTCCCTATGTACCACACTCCCTGGAATATGGTATGGTCGCTACGCATTAATAGGTCAGGGTTACTCAACTTTTAGCACGCACACCCGCAATGCAGAGACAATGCAGAGTTGTTGAGTATTCATGCCCAACCTATCAACAGAGGCCCCCTTCAGAGATTGTATCTGATCAGATCCTGAGCCTCTTTCAGTAAGTATTCATAGCAACATGCCAAATTAATGTGGTACTACAATAAACATGCACTGGCAGTAGTAAAGTTACAGAACAGTTAAGAAACATGCACTGGCAGAAGTAAAGTTACAGCCAAACCTGTGAACGGACGCCTCTTTCAGTGACTGAATCTCATCCTGTGCCTCTTTCAGGTGCACGGAGCACTCCTCCCACTTGTCCTGAAGCTCGGCCACGTGTGACGAGAGTTGAGTCGTCGTCTCGTGGGCCTCGGTGAGCTGCTCACGAAGACTCTCGTTCTCGGCCTCCAGCTGTTGTTGTGACAACACCTCTCTCTGAAGCCTCGCCTCCAGCCCCTCCAACGTGGCCTGGTGGGAGAGAGGTGAGGGAGGGAGGGGGAGGGAGAGAGAGGAGGGAGAGAGAGGTGAGGGAGAGAGGGTGAGGGGGAGAGATGAGGGAGAGAGGGTGAGGGGGGAGAGGGTGAGGGAAGGTGAGGGGAGGGAGAGAGAGGACGGGAGAGAGAAGAGGGAGAGAGAAGAGGGAGAGAGAAGAGGGAGAGAGCATGACGGAGAGATATGAGGGAGGCGAGAGGATGGGGAGGGAGATGAGGGAGAGGAGATGACGGGAGAGAGTGAGGGAGAGAGAGGAGGGAGGAGAGATGAGGGAGAGAGAAGAGGAAGAGAGATGAGGGAGAGAGATGAGGGAGAAAGATGAGGGAAAGAGATGAGGGAGAGAGGAGTGAGGGAGAGAGATGATGGAAGGAGATGAGGGAGAGAAATGATGGAAGGAGATGAGGGAGAGGGGTGAGGGAGAGAGATGAGTGTGTTTTTGTTTTCAGGAGAGTGGGAAAGAAAGAATCCGAGGACCCGAGACTAAGTTATTGGGAAAGAGTGTGTTTTTTCAAGAGATATTGTACAGACCTGCAGCCCCATGTTCCTGGAGGAGGTAAGTTCCTCTCGTTCTCTGAGCTCAGAGAGCCGGCTCCTGGCCTCCGCAAACTGCTCCAGACACTGGGTCACCAGTCTTCTCTCCTTTTGCTCCACCTCGGCCGTTGCCAGCTGGAGTCTGTCCGCCTGCACACACACATCAGTGGAGATATACTACATAATCATGTCAATGACAGATTAAAATCAGTGATAGTACTGTATCATTCACCACGGCATTGATATCTCCAGTGGTTAGTGATGGTAACAATGTTTGTGATAGCAGGTGATTGAACAGCTCTATGTGGGGTTCACCTGTTGGGTTACATTCCAATCTATACATTATGTAACGGTTCAACTTCGATTCCAAGCAAGTTGTCCATGGTGTAGCTATGCAAACCTAGAAACTTTAGACATTACGTAGCATGAGCATGTTATCAGTTTGTGGAAGTCAATAGTGCACAAGGTGATTCAGGCATAAGATAGAGAGAGACATTTGCTTACTTCAGCAGTCAGCTGCAAGTTGCTATCTCGTAGGTGACGACACTCTTCAGTGAGGGCCTTGATCCAGTCCCCCTTCTTCCCCT